CTTTTCCTTGCTACTAGCTTATGGGCTTAGTTTCATCGTCATGAATTGATGCCATTGCAACGAAGAGTCATGACCATTTGAGCTTATCGCCATTTCTTACTTCGATACTCTCTCTTCCTTTCCACTGATGGGCTCTGATACCGGCTCTACAAAGTTTAATGACTTCCTCATGTCGACTGCCTCTTGATTCGGCTGACGAAGCATTCTACAGGCTGACTTATCTCTTGCTCTTCTTTCCTTCTTTCGACCCTTGCACATTTTCTATTTCCTCTCCCGCGCCTTTCGTATCTCTCTTTTTTCCGGGGCATTATGACTGGGAATCTTTACGGGTTTTTGCATGAACTCAGCGGGTGTTACTCGTGCATTGATTTTACCTTTGTCTTACCGAGCCGCGGTTTGGCTCTTTCAAATTATCCATTTGCTATTTTTCAACAGATCTGTATTCCTATAATGAGGTATACTTGGAGGCGGGCTGGTTAGTTAGGGCTTGTATATACTCAGCCAGTTATGTACACTATGTCATCGTGGCCTCTATTTTTCATAGAATGAAACGTGCAAAGCACTCGTCATGCAAATGAGAAATAGACAATTGTCCTTTTTCATGCCTCAACCCATACTCATTTTCTGTTGATTTGTGCTCAACCATACGACATGGCATCATGCCATTTTGGAAGGCATATTTAGACGGTAAACATGCAGCGGTATCTGCACAACATCCTCTCCCTGTTCATTTTTATCCCAGTGTTGAAATATGGGGTCTTTACTTTGGAAACAAATGGCCTTGTCGCTTGCTGATTTCGGCGGTCGTTCGTCGCTGGGATCATCAGGACATTGCATACTTTGGTTCTCTTTGACCACCTAGGATTTCTTGAATCTAGAATGGCTTTTGCGACGTCCCAAGCGGCATTGTCTCAAGACCAAGATAGTGAGGTGGTTGACCCTTAATTTACTCTGAGAACATGGTGCCCTTCCGGTTGTGGTCTGTAATGCCATCTCAGGAAACGCAACCGACAGTCCAGACTTTGCTGACTAGGTTGTCTTCGTTTTCCTACGTCGTGGTCTTACCAGCAGGAAATTATTCAATAGACCTAGAAACTGTAAATACTCAAATATCAAGTGCCTAATGTGACAAGCTCTGAGAGTTCGGATGAGCAATCTACACAGGATCATGGTTTCCTACACCCAATTCGGGTTCGTTCTGCATGTGCCATGGTACGGAGAAAGCAAAGATGGGTGGTACAGAATCTGTCGTGGAGTCATGAAACGGTCTCCAACAGATTGTGCCGTGCTAGTTGATAACTCTCATCAAGCTCATCCAGCAAGTCCACCGGGCTTTGAGTAGGAAAATGGCATCGCATAATCTTTGCCCATCATGCACTGGCCCATATTGAGTCTGATCTTCCGGTTGACATCATCTTCAAACCATTGATTGTGAGGCCTCTGATGAACATGACGTAAACATGGGAAATTCGTCCAGTACCTTACTGTTCCATACCGTCGGATCCGTTACCGATAGAAACCGCCATGAAGTAATGTACCACAACAGCTGTGGCTAACTCGACTATCACCTCTGTAAGAAAACAGGCATCCGTATTTCGTCAGGTAACACTAATACCCACAGCCACACACAGCCACCTGGAAGCGTCCCGAAGCCATCATCATCGTCCCGCATTTGGGCATCTTATCCAGGTTCAGCCCTGCGACGATCGTCCTTCGCTGCTGCTCCGGTAAACACTCTGCAAAATCGTAATATTGACACTCGAACCTCTTAGTATTTTTCGTTCTGGCTTCAACAAACACTCCTTGTGAATACTATTTGTCTCCTCTATTCCTTACTCCTTACTCGATTCTCTACTCTCGCTCGCTTCCTGCTCGCCGTTTCTGCCTACACCGCAATCATGTCTTGGGCAGGTTCGCGATTCCATTTCTCTTCGAGTGGTCTTGCTCAACATACACTGACATTTGCGTTGCTGTGTAGGGTTCAAGAAAAATGTCAACCGTGCGACAACGCAGGTGATGATGAAAACAGGTACGATTCCTCGCAACTGTGCGAAACAGGCTGCAAAGCTTCCGCAGAGAACAAAGCGCCGGGGTAAATCACATGGACTAACGTCTGGCCTTCAATCCTTACAGGACATGTCGAGAGAACGAATGACCGGGACTATGAAATCGAGGAGCGGTACGAGCTGGTTTGGATATGCGTGTTTGGATCAGCTACTGATCAACATCTTGTTTGCCAGACGATATCGGACCATGGAGGCTGCGGCAAATCGACTGCAGAAGGAAGCGAAGGGATATCTGGATTCGTTACGAGGTGGGTCAATTATTCGAAACACTACCGTTCATATGGCGGGGCATTGTGCTGACCGAGCCACGCTCGCTAGCAATGACGGCTTCTCAAATGCGAATTGCGGAGACGATTGATGCATTTTACGGCGAGGCGGGTACTCGGGATGGTGTGAGCAGAAGCTACAAGCAAGCTGTGGAGGACTTGGATGCCGAGACGATCAAAGCATTGGACGGGCCCTATAGGTACGACTGTGGATGATCATACTTGCTGCAGACAATTACTGACGATAGTTGATTCGCTTGAACAGAACAACCGTACTGGATCCCATTTCGCGCTTCTGTGCGTACTTTCCGGATATCAACGAGTGCATTAAGAAGCGGAACCACAAATTGCTGGACTACGACGCTATGAGAGCGAAAGTGAAGAAGTTGGTCGAGAAGCCAGACAAGGATGCCACCAAGCTGCCCCGCGCGGAGAAGGAGACCGAGATGGCCAAGCAAGCGTACGAGCAGCTTAACGAGCAGCTGTTCACAGAACTTCCACAACTCATCGATCTACGGGTGCCGTACTTGGACCCCAGTTTCGAAGCCTTGGTCAAGATTCAACTACGTTTTTGCGCCGAAGCGTATTCGCGCATGGCTCAGGTGCAGCAATATCTCGACGCCGAGACAAGAGACCAATACGCCCGCGGCGACTTGGATAACAGGGTAGAAGAAGTTCTGCAAGAGATCCGGGACCTGAGTATAGCGGGAACCGTATGATACGTTATATCAGCGGTCCGTCTTTGTCTTTCCTCTTCATACTCGCTGCCATTTTTGCGCTTTGCAGGCCTGTTCGCACCTGCGTCTCTATTTTCATGGATATTCTTACTCTTCTATCCCACCTGCTGGGCTATGCAAAATTAGTATAAACTATATTTACCAGTCAATCCCGTGCGATGGTATTCTGTGTTTGCTCCGGTTGATTGGCTCTATTTTCAGAATTGTGAATTTGTTAGTCAAGGCTCTCCACAATGGGAACGCCCTGGAATCGAATGCGATTCTCGAACGGGCAAGGTGCGCACAAGATGGGTATCTGTCTAGGAATCGTAATATCGTACTGCACAGAGGGGGGACTCCGCCATGCATATTTCTGAGTTGATGAAAACATCAGTCATCGTTAGATTCTCGATAGAGCTCATCTGCCAGAATGTCCAAGACTGAGGCCGCAGCTGCACGGACTGCAGCCAGTTCGGAGGCGTTCATTTCAGTCAGGACATAGTCCGCAACATCATTTCGGGTTCGCGTCGAAGGACGGCCAATGCCCACGCCTACACGTAGAATGGACAGACCAGCATTTGCTCCTTGCGCCGCCTGTCCTGTCCGCGGTGGATACAGACCCTTGCCGCGCAGACTCTCCATGACACTGATCAGACCACGATGACCGCGCAGACTTGCTTTCTCAGGCCCGCCCCTTTTCACCCTCACCTTGCCCAACGGTGCTTCGAGTTCATCATGCAAGATTACCAACGTCGGTCGGAGACTCTTCAGCGAGCGGGGGTCAACGCCCCGAAGTTGCCATTCGGCATTGGCTGCAGACGCATCGCCGAAGTGTACCGGCAAAGCGACGGCCCCTTGGCGGACTACTCGCCCTAATACCTCGGATTCTGTTGTGGATAACCAGCTACTGAGCTGTCGGACCAACTTTGGCCCGGATTCATTCATGTACGACGGGCTGTACCATGTTTTGTAGAAGATGGGACCGGCTGATGGCTGTCTGGAGGATACCAGAGGGACTCGTGTGGGGAGGAGGGGAACAAGTGCATCGAGGAGGATATGCCCGGCGCTGTGCCGCGTTTGACGGTACGGACGCATATTGCCTAGTGAGGCGATGAACAGGAACCGGCGCGGGGTTTTGAGAACTGGGCCTTCGGCTGCCATTGCGAAGCTGGAGAGACGGGTTCATGCGATAATGGTAGTGGTGTGGTGTGGCTATTGGCGTTTGTGAAGGCTTCAGAATATTGATTTTGCAGGTTCGCAGGAAGATGCTAAGTTCTGTAGGCTTTCTTCCAGAAGATCAGGTGGGGAGCAATAATTGAAGGATGATTTTTGTAAATATATAGCTCAAAAGAGGACCAAATCAGGTAGCTCAATGAGGGAACCAGGAGCTCAAATGCGTATGTTCTTTACAGGTTATTGGACATGAAAGAAGATTTTCCTGTGGAGCGGGAGATCGCCATTATGACTGTGGGGTCCTCAAAATAGAGAGATACACCCGTGGAAGGATTTTGAATTCATGAACGTCTCACGGTTGGTGTCGATAGTCATAGAAAAGATCAATGGATCCTATTCTTCGTCAAGGAAACATTGTTCAGGCGACTGTTTGACTCGGTCGACCTACGGTGGTTGACTCAAATCGCTCTCGAATTCCCACATGCGGATTACTGATTGTAGTGTGTGTGTATCTGAGCTCTTTATGTATAGATTAGTCGCGTATACGCGCATTCGAGAGTAGGTGAGATGCCACCTTTGGCCGAAAAGCCGCTTTGACAGAATAATGGTTCGCCAGTACATTATCTGAAGAGAGGGTACAGGCATCTGGACAATCAAGAAGGGACTATACGCGCACATGAAAAAGGCCATCCAAAACCCATTTTTGAGAGCTGAACTCCATGCAAACCCAATAATGCAACCAGACACGTAACAAAGGTATAAAACCGAATGAGAGCATGCTACAGCTGGAACTTGGTACGCTGTTTCTCCATGCCTCCCTTCCACTCCCACTCCTGTCCGCTAGCACGTTGGATTCCCTTGTCAACTCGCCGCAGCTTGAAGTTGATCGCAGGGCCAAGCTCTTGGAGACCGGCGCGAATGCCTTCCACGCCCTTAATCTCCTTGCCGTCTGTGCCAACGACACTCTTCTCGGTCTCGCGCTTCTCGCGGAACACATAACGATGACGCCGGAGAAATAGATAGTCTCTTTGGTTGTGAATCGTGACGACTTGACGTCCTTCCAGGTCCGGTTGTGGTGGGAACATAGTCCGAAAGAGATGGGCTGTAAGGAGACCCAGAGGAGTACGGAAGTTGTTGAGGATCAGTTCCGGCCAGTGCTCGGTGGCATTTCCATGTCCCGGAAGCTTTTTGCCTTCTATCCATCTGCTGATAGTGAAATGAAAAGTGGGTCCGTGAGGTAGGTGGACAATCGTCAGACCGGAGGGTCGTTTCTGATCCTCCTGGAGAACCACGACGGCGGTATAGTTCCGATTCGATGCGAAGGAAGCAATTTCTCGGATGGAGAACTTGTGGGAGTAGCGATGGGCTGTACGACGGATATAAACGCTGTTAGGAAACAGATTGGTAAGGGATTTGGCCTCGTCATGGAGGGTAGAGTTGAGCGAGGTGGTGATGAGGATCTTGGGTGTCGGAGGAGGCTCTGAAGTAAACAATGTCGGAAATTTAGCGGCGAGAGCCTCTGGCGCTAGGTTGAGGTTCGCACTCCGAGTCGACTGGCTCGGACTGGTTGCTCGTTCTGTAGCAGATGGAAGGGAGGACTTTTTACGTCCCCGAGTATCAGCCTTCTTAGCCTTCCCATCTCCGCCTTCTTCGTCGCCGTCCTCTTCCTCGTCGCTGGTGGCTAGCATACTGTCGACATCATCCTCGGATTCATCCGACCCCGACTCACTATCTTCCAATGGTCGATTAAGTTCGTCCTCCTCCTCTTTCTTCTGTCGCTTTATGCGCTCGACATCAACACTGACGCCCAGCGCATCTTCAACGTCACTATCGGCCTCATCCCAGACACGTTTCCGATCCAGAGTCAGCGGAATATTCCGTTTGAGACGCTCCTCTTTCAATTTCGGGTTTTTGGCTTCTTCCTTTTTTCTTCCAAAACGTTCTGCTCGTCGCTCAGAGTCCTTGGCCCGCTTGCGCTTGACATGAAGCATTTGACGCCTTAATTTGTTCGCGGGCTTAAAATCCAGAGCAGCGCTCGGGGGAGGCTTCGATTGCGACTTTTTGGAACCCATCTTGAACCCGAAATGAGAAACAGCCCAACCTCGTAGATGTTGCTATGCCAGTTCCGATGCGGAAGAGAAGCAAATAATCAGAATAATTTTGACGGACAAATGTTTCGCCGGCGGACTTTCGACCAAATAGCCCAAAATTGCCTATTGCGGCAACGTGATTCGACCCTTGGAAACCGAGAAAAAATAAGAAGAAAATCAAGGGAAAAAAGGAGAAATTCGATTCTTCTGACTCACATTCGTTTCATTTCTGTTTACCCTTTCCCCCTGTCTTTCATTACTGTCGGTTCCTCAGGTTCGTTGGTTCTGGGGGTCGACTCACGTGGTGGATGACTCAATTGCCCTTTCTTCGACTCTTTCTTCCCCGCCAAATTACTCTCTGTAGCCCCGCCAGAAACTTTTTCCACACCACCGCCGCGCTCAAGGCTGTCCAGGCTTCCAAGAAGAATCAGCTCACGATGGCGACGGTAAACACAAAGACCGGCAAGGTCGTTGACCGCGCGGTCTTGGACTCAATGCTCCGGCGCCGGCTTTTCTACACCCCCTCTTTCGAGATMTACGGTGGTGTTTCCGGTCTTTACGACTACGGTCCCCCCGGTACCGCCCTGCTGAACAACATTGTTGACCTGTGGCGCAAGCATTTCGTGCTGGAGGAAGACATGCTGGAAGTGGACTGCACCATGCTCACTCCGCATGAGATTCTGAAGACCAGCGGACACGTCGACAAGTTCGCCGATTGGATGTGCAAGGACCCCAAGACTGGAGAAATCTTCCGTGCGGATCACTTGGTAGAGGAAGTTCTCGAGGCTCGCTTGAAGGGCGACAAAGAGGCGCGTGGTCAAAAGGTGGTCGTGGACGAGGAAAAGGAAGCAAAGAAGAAGAAGAAGGCAAAGGACGCAAAGGCCGTCAAGCTTGATGATGCCCTCGTCAAGGAATACGAGGAGATTCTGGCGCAGATTGACAACTTTGATGGTCCTCAATTGGAAGAGATCATCGCCAAACACGACATCAGAAACCCGACGACCGATGGCAACCTCCTTCCTCCCGTCGCTTTCAACCTCATGTTCCAGACCTCAATTGGCCCTAGCAGCAACATGCCGGGTTACCTGCGGCCTGAAACCGCTCAGGGTCAGTTCCTGAACTTCCAGAAGCTGCTGGAGTTCAATCAACAATCCATGCCTTTCGCATCCGCCTCCATCGGCAAGTCTTTCCGTAACGAGATTTCGCCTCGCGCGGGTCTGTTGCGCGTGCGTGAGTTCCTCATGGCCGAGATTGAACATTACGTGGACCCCGAGGGTGGCAAAAAGCATCGCCGCTTCGAGGAAGTTAAAGATATTGAAATGTCTTTCCTCAACCGTAACGTTCAGCTCTCTGGAAGCACGAAGACTGAGAAGATGACCATCGGTAAGGCGGTTGAGACCGGCATGGTCGACAATGAGACACTTGGATACTTCATTGCCCGTATCCAGCTGTTCCTTCTCAAGCTCGGCGTGGACCCGAACAAGCTCCGCTTCCGTCAGCACATGGCTAACGAGATGGCTCACTACGCCGCTGATTGCTGGGATGCGGAATTGCTGACCAGCTACGGATGGATTGAATGTGTTGGCTGCGCTGATCGGAGTGCCTACGACTTGACAGTGCACAAGAACAAGACCGGTGCACCTCTTGTAGTCCGCGAGCCCCGGGCCGAGCCTTTGAAGGTCGAGGAGTGGCAGGTTGATTTGGACAAGAAGAAGTTCGGACCTCGTTTCAAGAAGGATGGCAAGGCCGTCGCGGCTGCCGTCGAGTCCCTCTCTCAGGAGCTCCGTGAGAAGTTGGCCATCGATCTGGAGAAGAATGGCAAGATCGAGGTGGATGTGGACGGTGTTGGCTCTGGTAAGGTGGAGCTCGACCAGGACATTGTCAAGATCGAGAAGCGCACCCGCGTGGAGAACGTTCGCGAGTACACACCCAATGTTATTGAGCCTTCGTTTGGCATTGGTAGGATCCTGTACAGCATGATTGAGCATGTTTACTGGGCTCGTGAAGAAGATGAAGCCCGCGGTGTACGTATCGCGACACCCTGGAAGTGCGTTTGACACTATGCTAATCTTGCATCTAGGTTCTCTCCTTCCCCCCTGTGATCGCTCCCACCAAGGTTCTGATAGTTCCTCTCTCGACGCACGCATCCTTCCGCCCCCTTCTGCAGCAGCTGATGACCAAGTTGCGACGCATGGGGATCTCCAATCGCGTCGACGACTCCTCCGCCAGTATCGGTAAGCGCTACGCGCGTAATGACGAACTGGGCACACCTTTCGGGATCACGGTTGACTTCCAGTCGGTGAAGGACAACACTTTCACTTTGCGTGACCGTGACACAACCAAGCAGGTGCGTGCCAGTGAGTATGAGATTCTGCAGGCGATCAGGTCCCTGGTGGATGGTGAGAAGACATGGGAAGACATTCGCAAGGAACTTCCTGAATTTACTGGCCAGGAGGTTGATTAGACCCCGTGGAGACGTTGTCCATGTAGAGGGGAATTCAACAAGATAACATGATGAATAAATACCAGCATCTCACTTGCAATGTCAATATTCAAGACACTCGATGAGCTTCGTAGTTCAATTAAAAATACTGAGCCCAGGATAGATACTCGTATGGTCGTCTTCGTAGTCCCCTGATATTTTGCCAAGAATCCGGGGCAGAAAGTGAACCAACACCTCGTCATTGCGGCACTCCAGCTGGCCAACTTACACAGAGGGCTCTCTCTCCCCTTCAGTTCACCTCACCTCCATCGCTATTTTCATTTTGCTTCTTCACAGTTCACAGCTGTAGTTGGTGTCTTTTTTACTCACATAGCCGGGCGGCCACTCCGTCCTTTCACTATGGCACCAACTATTCCCTCGGCCAAGTTGACTCTGTCTTGTCCGCTCTTCGCGGCCGATTTTGATCCGCGCAACCATGGCTTTTTGCTCGTTGGAGGCGGTGGAGGTGAAGGACGTAGTGGTGTTGGAAATAAAATCGCAAGTTCTCTCTATACTCCACTGCTAGAGTCATGCGATCCTCACGGACCGTGGCGTTGATTCCTTGAACCCCGAAGCATTGCGCTAACTTTGAGAGCCGGCGTGGAACACAGGCGCTCTTGGACACTTCAAAACGCAGCGAAATCTCGGAGGTAGTCGATATCGAACTCTCGCGCGACGAGGACTCGGTTACTTCACTAGCCGCTGCAAATGCGAGCGATGGGTCGGTCATTGCTCTGGCCGGTATCAACAGCTCCGTGGCCGAGCAGAAGAGAAACAACAATCAACATCTGAGATCCTTCCAGATCGACTATCCCCCGCGAAAAAGAAGATCGGCGAGCACTTCCAGAGAAGAAGCAGAGACACTCAAAGAGAATCCCACTCCAGGAAAGACTACAGCACTAGCGCGCGTGTCATTGTTTCGGACAAAGGAGTCCAGGGAATCCAAGGCCGGCGCCGATACCTATCAGAGGATATTGCGACTATCCCCATGGAAAGATGCAGACGCTCCCCGAGTAGCTGCCATTGCGACGGGGCTGGCTCCTTCGGGGGAAATTGTATTTTTCAAAGTCACTCCCACGCCGACCGAGGCTGATGTCATTGGGAGGATTCGCCTGAACGGCGAGGAGGAAGCTGAGGACGTGGACATTATCGATCTGGAGGACGATGGGAAGTACAAAGTGGCCTACACCAACGGGAATGACGTTTTTATTTGTGAAATATCATCACAGACAAGGTCAAACACCTCTCCAGACGTGCAGTGCGTGTACAGCACACCTCTGCCCGAAAAGGGGCCGAGGTCAAGGCCTAAATTTCGAGCACTGCGCTTCCTCTCCTACACAACGCTGTTGCTCCTTCAGAATGCACCAAACCGAAACGGTTGCGAGCTTTTGATTCTAAATTTGCGTCCTTCGAAAGATAAGCCTTCCGGGTTCATTGTAAGGCGCAAGAAGCTGCGCAAGTCAATCAAGATCGGGCTAGGTCTGGACACTTGCGGTTTAGGAACGAACCCAGACGGCCAACAGCAGACCATTATTGCGGTGTCTGGTAGCGACCAGTCTATCGAAGTCTTGACAGTTGAGTTCAGTCCAAGAAAGGGCCATGGCAAACTCCGGCCGTATACAACCCTACGAGACGTCCACCCGTTCTCGATGACCAAGATCTGTTTTTCAAACTTCATCCCCCCAACGCACCCCGTCACGCCAGAGACCCCTCCTCAATATGTCAAGCTGGCCTCGATCAGTATGGGCAATACGGTTGTCGTGCACACCTTCCCGCTTGCCCCATCGCCGCCCTCCAGCCGCACCCCGCGGTACGTCCTGGTCATGCCCGGCGAATCGGAGGTTTGGACCAACTTCGCCAGCGGCTTTGCGGCCCTGCTCTCCATTATCACCGTCTGTGTCCTCCTCCAGGCCTTCACGGAGATCAGAGGCCTCATGCGCCCGTACCTCGGGGCCTCCGAGTGGCTGCCCCCGGATATCCGCGCGGCCATTGCGCGCCCGTACCACCCCCTACCACCTCACCCACTCCCAACCGCATCCGCGCTCTCTGCCCTCACCGATTCCCCGAAGCAGACTCTCCGAGATATCCTTCATGCCCGTCAAGCCGTCGGCGGTAACGACGCCGATGCAGCCCCGGACGCTGACGCAACAACCCCAGCTAACTCCGTCTTGGTCCGCTGTCTTCCTGAGTCCAACAACATCTACATCGAGAGCTCCGATGCCCACTCCTCCCGCTCGTCCTCGTCATCTCCTGAAGAGGCAGAAGAGCAGCCATCCCGATCCTGGGATGACCTCAACGAGGACGAGCGTTCTGCCTGGAAGCAACGCTTGATCGATGCTGGATACTGGGCTCTCGAAGAAGGGGAGACGATCCTCCAAGGTGTATTGTTCGGCGAATGTTCTGCCTTTCTGGGAAGTCAAGTGCAAGCTAAGCTTCTTTCTTAGTGTGGATGAAGATCAAGGGATTGATGATCGTATTTGGCATGGCGCAAGATCATGAGCTGTGATATCACGTATATTATGAAACGTTCGAGTTTGACACATGACTACTAATGTCTATAGACCATTTGGATGGTTGAATTCTAACGCACACAAATAGCTGTAGAAATCGAGCAGTACCAATTTCAGTCTTGCCTTCACCCTGGAAATTCTCCCACATGTGTCTTGGTGGGATGCGACACTCGTTACTTTGAAACGCATACTACATCCATATATGGACTTCTTACTCCCTGAGAGAACTCGCTTGATATTAACAGAAATTTTCATCATCACTCATGGATCAGAAGCATAGAAACATGCATGTAGTGAAATACACATGCGCAACAAAGAGCATCCGTAGCCAGCGTCTCAAACAACCAATGTGTCCTAATCCCAATTCATTTTTTCTCTTCCCTCATTATTTTGCTCTTCTCTCACACCACTGATCCATCAGCTGGCGGACGAAAGAACGTTTCCCTACGCTGTTTTCCTTTCGTCAACATTGGAAGAGACCAACATTCACGCTGCGTCGTACAAGAGGCTGGCGGCATGGTTAACTGTAAAACTTACTCAAGTTAAGCCAATACAGCGAGATCAACGAGACGACATGCAACCCAACGGAGTAGAAAGGAGGACGGATGGCTTTGAAGACGAATACCAAACGAGAACGCCGAGTAATACGCCAGGCCTGCAATGAAAAAAATGAAGCTCTGCAGCTCGGATATCACACGTTTACTCTGATGAGCAATGCAGGTCGTAAGGGAGTATCAGAACCAAGCCGGAGCGTGTAAATGCGACCCATATGTGCGCAAGACAAGATCTAACGGGTAAATTGTAAAGCGAAAACAAGAAGCGCGAATGCTTTACACGTGCCAGCGCGAGTCAAGCTGACACAATGGATTGCGCGAAGAGCCAGTCACTGTCCGCTGTTCTTCTTCCAACGAAGAAGTTCGGCTAGACTTGCCAGACTGCAGCCTGTCTTGAGAAAGTCATGGTCCAAGAGTTCGTCGGCAGTAGCACGGCTGTTGACATCGACACATAGGCAGACACTGAGGAAGGATTTGAGCTCCCTACTCAGCTTTTCAGGCTTCTTTAAGCGAGGAGTTCCGTTCGTGGCGATCAGGTACAACGCCTTCAGTGGTTCCTCGTTCAAATAAGGGGGCTCGGACTCAATCATTTCAATGGCCATGATTCCCAATGACCAACAGTCAACTTTGGGTCCGTACTCCTTTTGCTTGACGACCTCCGGTGCCATCCAGTAAGGAGTACCGACCATTGTTGCACGCTTGCTTTTTGATTCGGTAAGTTTGGCGCAGAAACCGAAATCAGCTTGAAGAGTCCAGTCAGTTAGTCTAGGCAAGATCCAGTGTTCCGAGAAGCAGACTTACTAATTTTGACATGACCGGCGCGATCCAGAAGGACGTTATCACTCTTGATATCACGATGGATGATGTTCTGTCCATGAAGGTGGGCCAGACCCTTGCAAGTCTGGGTAACAGTCAGCATCGCAACAACTCGGTGCAAATCTTTGTGCACTGTAAGTCATGAAAACCTACCTCCGCGCAGATTGTCGCAATTTGATCTTCCTGAATAACAGGGTTGTTGTCGATGACATCCGTGAGGGCGCCTCCCTCCATGAACTCCATCACAACCCACAGCTCGTTACTCTGTTCCTGCAAGAATGAATCAAGGAAGTTGACGATGTTCGCATGCTGGCTGTCCTTCATAACGATAATCTCATTGACGATGAGCTCTTTGCGGGGCTGGCTGCGCAGGTCCATCTGTTTGATAGCAACCTGACACCGTGGGCCATATTGCCGGTAGAGCTCCCGTGCGACAGGGGAGACCGCGTGCTCCTTAACACGCGCGACATACACCGAACCTGACGCTCCTTGCCCGATTTTTCGTTGCTTGCTGTATGACTCGTTCGGATTATCCTTGGAGACTACGGACCTCAGTCGATCCATGACTTCATTTTCAGACATTGCCGACATGCGGACCTCCTTGTGGCGTGGTTCAGCCTTCTTGGTCAGTGCAGCCTCGGCCTGACGAACACTGTCCGGAACATTGCCTTTTTGGGTCGTCTGCTTGTTCGCAATATTCAGTGGTTTCACAGCTTGCACAGGCGCGGGAAGCTTGGATGGAGGGGGGCCCTGCGCCGCTTTGGTGCCATTGCTTTGGGCGCGAGCGGCCTGAGAACGTGGATCATTTGGAGCGTAACGAGCGTTGGGAGAATTCTTTGCGCTGCCATTGCTGGACGTAGTGGGAGGAGGGGGTGCTGGGCGCTGAGCAGTCAATTGACGAGAAGGATCTTGACGAGTCGAGCCAGGGGCTTGCGGTGCGGGACGGCTTGGCTTGTAGCGATCGGCCATGGAGGAGTCGCCGCCATAGCCGCCAAGCTCCTGCTTGGCCAGGGGAACACGACCCTTAGGGATAGAGGCGTTGTACGCTTCTTGATCAAGTCTGTTCTGTTCATCTTCGCGTTGACGAGCCCGGCGGGTCTCGTCTTCGACACGTCGGCGCTCCTGTTCTGCCATCTCCTTCATTCTCTCGAGCTGCTGCTGCTGGTCCAAAGCACGATCAGACTCCGCCCTCTGCGAAGGTGACGAATTTGCCGAGCGACTCGTTTGGGAGTGTCCGTTGTCCAAACGCTGAGCAGGGCCTGGCGGCGGCGGCCTCGGGGGAGCAATGGAGCTGCCCACCGAGTTGTTGCTGTAGGGCTTCGACTGCTGACTGGACGGAGGACCGGCCAAACCAGCGTAGTACTGCGGGTTCTGTTCGCGCATCTTGATATCGGAGTAGAACTCTAGGACCTCAATCACCGCCTGGGGGTTCTTCTTGTAGTCTTCCTTGGTGATGGCCGACGCTGTCAGCAGCTTCTCCCACTCGGGGGGTAAGCCCACAAAAGCGCCGGTTTGCGGATCAAAGCCGACATGGACACGGTGGCTGAAATTTGTCGGGTTGCTCACACCTCCCATGCCAGGGCAACGCTCGTAAATTTTGTCAATCCAGTCATAAATTTCATCGTCACTCTTGACTTCGCAGGTAATGGTTTTGGTGGGCACGTCGCGAGTGATCAAGGCGGTCTTGGAAGCGGCATCCTTCGCATTGGCCAAACGAATGATCTCAAAAGCCATCCGAGTGTCCTCGGAACGCGACACGCTGGTGACAGTGTTGAGCGGGATGGAGAGGACCACCTTCCCGGTCTCATTCTTCAGGAAATCGAGACGGAACTCGCGCAGAATGAGGTATCTCTGATTCCAAGTAGCCAAAAACTTGTCTTCTTTGCAGCGGACATAGCCCTCTTTCACGACGGCAACGCCCCCCTGGCCGGACTGGTTTGTCTTGGTCTGTGAGAGGGCCGGACTGCTGGTGTTAGGAAATAGTGACAGGTTGGCAGATCCAGGAGTACTTGGAGAATTGAGACTCATTTGACTGAATGAAGTGGCCACGCCGGAGGGATTCGAAGGGAGTGTGAGTTTTGGACGGTCGGTAGGGGGTCGCGGAGCGGGCCCGGGGTTCATGAATTGGTCGGCGGAATACATACTGCGACAGAGGTCAGTTAAATTTCTGGAATTGAGACCAATCAGATCCCAAAAAAGGTATGCACTGCATGGTCAGATAAAGACGCGCTCAACCTACATTGCAGTTGACGAGATGCTGTGAAGGACAATAGAAATGCGGAAACCCTAAGGAGGGGGGGTAAAGTAGCCTCAGGGGTTCCCGTTGACCAAAAGGGCGAGAGGAGGGAAATCAACACGCAACGGGAACAGACGCTACAATGCTTCCCTAGAAACAGCAGAACAAGTGATGTGAGCAAGACGCAGCCACACCAGTATTGCCCGCATACAAGACCCGAGCGATTCTGCCAAAAAAGGGTGGAATGAACCCCCACTTCGAGAAACTCGTCCAGGGGCGGTGATCCTTCAGCAAAGAGAGCCGCACAGGGGTTGGAGGACAGACAGAGGAGCCAGCGAGGATTGTCTGAAATAGGAGTATGCGAGAAATTGCCACTGTTGGCTTCGGAGACAATCTTACCTTGTTCCCTTTCCACCTCTGACCAGCAGAGCCCTCGCGTGGGCGAGGAAGCTCCAAGTGGGAGTGCCGCTTAAATCTGGGGACGGGGACGCGGTGAGGGCTTAGTGAGCCAAGGCTGGGACTAGTATTGCAATTTTGCAAGGTGTTTGAAGGCTTGGTAACAAGAGGAGCTATGAATTAGAGACCGTATAATCTCACAGCGACGGCGAAGAGAATAGGGGAAAAAAAGTTTCAGAAGATACTTCACTGGTGGGGAGGAAAAGAAGGAGACGAGGGAGTAAGTGTGTGTGAGAGAGAGAGAGGGAGAAGGAGAGTGACAGGGAGGAAGAAGAGAGAGAGTGGGGAAGACAGGAACAAGGAGGTGTTAATAATATTGATAGGAAGGGATTTATACTCAGCTGCTAAGTAGTCAGACGTTGGAAGTAGGAGTAGTATCTAGTAGTGAAGTTTCATCTTGCAACAATATCGATCTAGTTAGGAGTAACGAACCAAGAATCAACATGTCAACAATCTACTGATTTTCGCTGGCTTCTAGAATGCTTGTATCGGAGCGAGGCTGCCATGGTTCAACATCCAGGTACCTCCCATTGTTGCTACTCCTCCTCTGGCTGTAACAGCAACTACTCAGTATAAGTAATGTTCGTCAACGCTAGATATCTCCAAGACTATCTGAAATAATTACCATTGTCTCCTTATGGATAGAGTGGAAATCGAGGTTTAGATGGATTGATTCGAGATAAACTCCTGGTCAACTCCACGAGGGCGGGACACTGGCTGCTTGAGGCTCGACAAGGTGCGGAAACTTAACATCTGAGCCATTCTAGTAATAATAGTAGGGACCTTTTGCTCCCATTATAATATGTTGCAAGAACTCATTATTATATTATAATGGGTACAAGAGGGGTGGTAGTACCTTCTTTATATCACCA